TTGGGTATATACATGTATATGTATGTTTGTAGTAGTATAGCAATGTGGTCTATTCACTTCTCACATGTTAATACCGTTGTGTGCTAATGTAATGAAAGGAATTATCATTATTTCGCATGTATTTTACATTTTTCCGATAATCCTGCAATAATATTTATTAACTCGAAATCGACATATGCATTTTACATTTTGTGCAAATCATTTTCACAACAATACATTTGACAACCCAACAGCAAAAAAATAAACACATATCTAAAATTTTTACCATATATTCATGCAGTAATAAAATGACATATCAGTCTTGGCATGGCTTTTGAAAAAAGATGTAGAGATAAGAATAACTGACAAATTAAGTACATTGTAATAAGTAAAATATATTTGGCAGTTTCTTCTATTATAATTCTTTAATAGTTAATAATAATAACAATAATTGTTGTTGCTGTTGTTGTTGTAGTTCTTTAGTTGCCATATACAAATTCATTTGGTAGTAAATATGTGATGCATAGCATTTATCATAGTTCATTTACAAAATTTAAGCATTTGGTTTCTAAATTGAGTTACCTTCAACACCAAAATCATTTTTCTAAGTTTTAAAGACTCAGTTAAACTTATCAATTATACACAATTATTTTAAACAAACAGCGAAATTATCGTATTGTAATGTACAAAACGAATCTCAAGAATAATTTTAAAAAATTATACTCTTCTCATTTCTACATTTAAATACTTTCAGATGCAGATTAATAACATTCAAATCACATGCTCTATTTTACATATTTTACATCGAAGTGAAAAAAATACGTTGAAAAAACGAAAATAATAAATTTCATCAAACAGTTTTTTTTTTTGTACGTTTATCTTGATTTTAAGAGAAAACTTTTCATTAATCATCATGAAATTTAATAAAATAATCCAAAGATTGATATTAGACGTAGAAATGAGACTGCAGTATCAAATCATATCCTCAATTGATTTAAACCATATAAACAAAATTTGCAATAAATCAACTTGCACACTGATGTATGACTTGATTCAAATAAAATGAATTATGAAAAGTACAAAAAGATTTCAGAGAATTTCTATGTACTAAAATAGGTAGACTCCACACAAAATCATATTTTGTAGCTAAATATTGTATGTACCGAAACACAGATTTCATCAATGATTTATTTAATAACATTTTGTAATTACAGCAATCAGATTTCCTGATGGAACACATATGTCAATACGATATAAATACAACAAAAATATAAAGGTTTTAAAATTCAAACATGCAAGTTTTTCAATTTGACACTCTATACATTTAAACATTACTTCTCATTTCGGTCTTTTAAGAAGTGATGTATTTCGGTGTTTTACGAAGTGATGTAGAGTTGATACATTTCTTGTTATTGATTTCCGGGTTACTTCACAATTACATGCACCACATGTATGCAGCAACACGTTCTCTGAGAGTAAATATCGCATGAACATAAATAACAATCTTAAATCTTAAAATATAAATTCATGTTTCAGAATTACATCAAATACGTTTTGCGCGCAATTTCTGATAATTTTTGCGTGCGTTTTAAATAACCACGGATATATATTTCAAAATAAGAGTATTTCAAACTATATATAATAAAATGATTAGAAAAGAAGATCCCGGGCAGTATTAAAAGATACTTGAACTTTAGACGTTTCCTTGTATAATTTAATTAATTTATTGCAATTTGTGATTTTTAACCTGAACTGTTAAAAAGGCATAAATGAGAAACAAATAGTATATATGAACTTTATTTTATCAGAAGCCTAACCATTGCATAATTTATTTAAAATGCATGCAGAAAGTAGCGAATGTCTTATTAAATAAATAAGGTGGTACAAACCATCCGTCAAAACAGCATACGTTTTCTGAAGACATTTCTTCAACAGAGAACTGTACTGTTATTCATTATAACCACGTGATTGTTATCCATTATAACCACGTGATTGTTATACATTATAATCACGTGATTGTTATACACTATAACCACGTGATTGTTATACATTATAACCACACGTTTTGCACAGGAATCTTCAAAATTTTCATCGTAGGTTATGGGTACAGAAAAGAAAAGGAGTGAAGATAGTTTGGTAGAGATGCAGAGAAATGCGTTATTGACATTCGCTCAACAGGCACGTATGTCAGAAAGCGACAGGTCGATGGAGGGTAACATATGTTGCTCGCCTAAATGCACTAAAGAAGCGAAACTACGATGCCCTACTTGTATTGAATTGAAACTTTGCGATTCGTATTTTTGTTCTCAGGTTTCCTTTTATTATACTCACGTACTCTAATCAACTATTCTGTACTTCAAATTACTTGTAAATATTTGACTAGGAGTTTTTCTTTGCTAATGCTGATTCATTAATGAAATTAAGTTGTGGAACTCTCTAAAGCAAATGTATCGACTTGATAAACAATTCTTACATCTTTGCACTTTAGCATTTTGTACATGGTTACTAATATGTTACTTTTTACACAAATCAATTCAAACTATCTCGTGGAACTAGACTGACTATGAGTAAATATTCTTTTGTATTATTAAATTCTCCGGAAGTAACGTTTTTTTAAGGAATGTTTTCGTAGTAGTTGGGGATTTCATAAACTTATTCATCTGACGTGCAACAAAGTTTCTAACAGTTATAATCCATGGCCTTATTATCGTTTTACTGGATTGCTTCGTCCTGCACCAGTGACCAGCAAAAGAATTGTTCCAGAAAATATCATGAAGCCAGATTATGCATTCCGAGCAGACGGCGTCTCGGAATGTGAACGATTAGCAAGATTTAGCAATGAAATTAAGGTCGTTTTTATTGAGTATAATTTTATACAGACTGCCATGGAAAATTGTCTCTTTAATACGTAAACATTCATTATTATATTAAAGTTTATGACTAGATGTTTTAGGTACTCAACGATGAAGAAATAGATCAGATGAGGGTAGCTTGTAAACTAGCTAGAGAAGTTCTAGACGAAGCAGCTCTTGTTTGTGAGCCTGGTATGACTACCGACCTCATTGATTCTGTCGTTCATGAAGCTTGTATTGAACGAGATTGCTATCCTTCACCTTTAGGGTATAGTTGCTCTTTATATTATCCTGTTAAAAAAAGACACTAACTTTGTGACAAATATTTCCTAGCTTGTAAAACTTTATGTTTTTTAGATACCATCAGTTTCCAAAAAGTGTTTGCACTTCAGTTAATGAAGTTGTTTGCCATGGAATACCTGATTTGCGAAAACTTGAAGACGGTGACATTTGTAATGGTATCTTTTAATTTAGATTCTTAGACAGATTATCTCCTTATCACAGTTCATATTATTTTGATTTTCAGTTGATGTAACGGTTTACCATCGTGGGTATCACGGTGATGTAAATGAAACGTTCCTAATCGGCAACAAAGTAAGTGAACAAACAAGGAAACTAGTGGCGGTTACCTACGAATGCTTGCAACAAGCAATAAACATCGGTTATTGATCTCTCTTTACAAATTTGGAAGCAAATCTACTCCTGTTTTTGTTTAAATTTCAATCTATATAATATAATACTTTTGACCTTTCAGTTCGTCCGGGAGTGCGTTTTCGTGAGATCGGCAATGTAATTCAGAAACATGCAAATGCTAATGGTTTCTCTGTGGTAAAAACGTATTGCGGACATGGGATTCACAGGTTCCTCCCAAATATTTTGAACTTGGATAATTTTTGATTGAGAACTTCTCAAATAATTGGAATTTTTTTCAGGCTTTTCCACACTATTCCGAATATACCGCATTACGCTAGTTAGTTTCTTAATTCTTGGTTTAATATTTCAAGACTGGTTTTTGTGTTTGTAGTTTTATAATTATTTTACATTTCATTGTATTAACTGTGGAAGAAAGGTAAGTGGTTCTCAGACTTGACGTATTATTTTCTAGTTACATGTGAAGTTTAATTTTGTATTCTAGAAAACAAAACAGTGGGAGTTATGAAAGCTGGAAATACTTTTACCATTGAACCCATGATCAACGCTGGTGTTCACAGTAATGAACGTTGGCCAGATAGCTGGACCGCTGTAACTGTACGTATTTTCTACAATTTCAATGTGTGATAAAGCAAGCTATTATTGCTGGAAAAAAAATGTGAGTCTATATGCGGATAATATTTTGACTTATTCAGAGTGATGGAAAGCCGTCTGCACAGTTCGAACAGACTTTATTAGTAACTAGTACAGGATGTGATGTGTTGACAGCTCGGAAGTCTGGCCGACCATGGTTTATGGATCAGATGGAAAATAATTACTCTAGACCAGAGTGAGTTACTCTCTGGACTCATTTGTCGAAAGCACTTAAGTACCCTACTGTTTTTAACCTCGAAAAAACTGGAGAAACCCTCAAGACTCTAATCCTGTCATATAAATTTCATGTGACACATAATACTGTATGGTCCGTGATCACTTTTCAGTTCATTATTTCTTATTGGTTCCTACTACCTTTGTATGTGACGAAATTTCAGCGTGGCTTGTAGAACCACAGCTCAAATATGTTTAGTTCAACAGTTGTTTTGCAAATAAAATTATTTTCTTGAGGCACCATGCTGCGAAATTTTTCATGTGACACAGAGTCGTATACATCACATCTTGAGCATACAGAGTAAGTTTAATATAACGGGAACATACTATAACCAAGGTTCTGAGGCTTCAAAATCCCAAAACATGAACACATCAATAAGTCAAGCACGATCACTTCAAAAATTTAAGACAGCGCAAAATCAGATGTTTCTAAATATTGTTTTAGTACAAAGCATCGTATTTACATACATACACAAATGCCGAGACAGTTATGGAATCTAAACATCTACAGTAGTTTTCGCGTGCAGCTGACACAAAACCGTATGGATGAAGAGAAGAAGCATTGGGATATGGCTAGTAATCTTCACAGCTTAGCGTTATGAGCCACTTCAAAAAGTATGAGATCGTTAAACTTGTTCCTATACATGAGAGAACGCAGCTCTCTATTTACAGTGGTCCCATCATGTGAAAGAATATGTGGTAAGTGTGCATAGGACTAGGATTACTTGAAAACATGGAGGGAGGGGACTTATTATATACAAAATAACTGACAGTCCACTATGAAATATCACAGAAGGTACTGTAAGAACATCATTACAGATGATCAAAGCTGTCTCGAACGTCAAGAATATCAGTCATTGTTAGTTTGACTATAGTCAGAGAAAAAGTAAGACTGAAAATAAAGATTTCACAAAATAAATTGAATGCTTACAATGCTAACTTTTAGCTTACAGAATTGTTTGCTATCTCGAGGAGTACTATAGAGATATTTCGACACAAAAATCTTGGGAATTTGCAAAAAAGAATTTGCTGTTATGAGCAAAGTTGTCATATAAAATAATACATTAAGAAATTCTTAAGCCTACTCTACTAATGCCATATCATACAGTGGAAATGTACAACTGACAAAAAATTAAGCCCTCCAAGTCACCAATTAATGAACAAGTAAGTCTGAAGAAAAAGTACATTTCTAATCCTCGCAAAAAACTAAATTTCTATTCTGCTTTCATATTCAGAGAGATAATTTGCGATCATTTGTTAGTCCTCCCTTCAGAGCTCTATACCACCTGAAACAGTTAGTATGCAAAAACACATAATACAACAACGAAATAAAAGTTGATCTACATATCATGTGAATAATTTTCTAAAAATGAACCTTCTTGCATTTCCTGAATGAGCTACTCGGAAATGAAGCGTAATAGTACTTCTGCCATTAACTTGATTAACATGGCGTAACTCAAATAAACGACCACCATCATCCAACTCTTGTACACAGAGAGTGAATCCCAAAAGAACATAACGCGCAACTGGATCCGCATCCTACAACATAATTTCCATTAAATATTTTGAGCACAAATCCTTACTCGTCTCTTTTTGAAATTTCCACTTTTATGGCAGTATTATATACGACTATAACAAGAGTTTTATATTGAAAAAAGATTAACTGTTCGATTTGTTTTTAATAACTTTACAGTAATTTAAACTTACGAATTCTGCATCATAAAAAGAAAGTACTAGTATGTCATCAATATGTGATGTCAACCGACCCCATTTTTCACATTCATTACCCTTTTGGTTCCTGAAAATAGAAATGTGATTGACGATCGAAAAAATACACAACAATAGATACATAATAATACTAACTACTTAATAAGGTAGGTAATAAAAACTCAAAACACCAACCTTAAAAAAACAGTGCCAGATACTACTCCTTCATCATTTCGACTAAGAATATTAGTTTTTATCAGAGACTCATTTTCCGGAGCAGTGAAAATAGTGTTTCCAGAGACTCCTTGCCCTAGTATAAAAGAATGTACTTTATCTCAAGCCAAAATCACACTTGTAACTTTGAACAAAATACTCTTTTAATGGCAAATCTAATTTTATAACCAAACACACATTTTTTGATAATCTTGACGTAACATTCTGGGCAAACTTTGGTGCGCACGTAATAACCACCAGTTTTAACAGGTGCGTAACCAACACAGGACCGACAAATCAGCTAAAAACACATCAGTTTTGCGCAATAAATCAAAGTCAAATAAATATACAATGATTTCATGTATGCAAATAAATTTACTTTCCTTGTCAAAGAGTAGTGAAAGGAAGAATCTGTCGGACAAAACTATGAATTTATTTCAATCTCAAACTTACTACTTTCAGTGAATTGTCCACGAGCACTTTTCACTAACACCAGATGCTTACTAAGGCTGAAACCTTCAAATTACTGACCGTTCTGACCCTATTTTACTAATTATTGATGGAAGTTCATTAGAAGCAGTAGAATTAACAATGCAAATTTCCTAAAAATACCAAAAAACTGACGTAGCCACATTCTCTGCAATGATGGCGACGATTTAAAACACCGAACTTAGTGGAGCAACCAGCCATCATACAAGAAGTTGCTTTCGGATCTGGTATCCACAATGGAGTATACTTATATTTTTCACTGACTGGCACATTAACCAACGGAATATTTTGATCTAATCCATCTTGCGACGTTTGCACATCCGATGTTTTGTCATTTGTTGATTCTTCGTTTTGTGAGACTTGAAAATTAAGGTTCTGAAAACCAAAGTATAGGATTTATCATGTAAGAAAATACTTGCTGCAGACATATGCAAAACAAATACCTTATTTCTCACAGCTTTAATGCGTCGCAACCGTTTGCACTCTATCTTCGCCTCACTAATTCGCTTCACCCATTCATCTCTTTCTCGCTTTGTCCTTAATATTCGAAAATTATATCAGATGGTAAGATTGGAATCAGCCCACAATTACTATCCAGTTTATAGTCCATTCCTTTGATTCTAAACTGCACACACATTATGAATCGCTCCACGTCACTACTCTATTTTAATCAACTAAAGTAAAGGCCCTTCAAAAAAAGCACTGCGTTACAATAGATGGCCAAAGATTCAGATGCAACATTTACTTCAAACCTTTCGTTAACTACTAACAAAATATGCAAAGATGATATGATTCAATGCACAAGTAAAATAATTTATTTGCAAGTACAGTATTTTGTGAACATATTCAAAACAAACTTTGCAATAAAAACTGCACTTTTCTGTGTGGTATAGAGCTGAAAATGAGTTTCATACTCTCCATGCTCTTCCGCATTGACACGAGTTCGAGAAACGAGACATTTATAAAAATTAGAATGAAAGTTGGCATCTGCTCCAAGCGAAGGTGTTCTTGAGTATTTACAAATTAATAGCACATCGGAAAACTGCAAAAAATTATAATAAAAAATAGAGCTAGTTACTATTGTAAGAATATGATCATTAAATTTTCAGTTACTTATTTCTCACACCACCAAAGTTAAAATGACTTTATGAAAAAAACTTCAAGTGATGAAGTTCATTATTTCACTGCAAACCAACTCAATTAAATAAAACGCAAATGTCCAGTGTCTTATTAAAATAGTAGCTATGTTAAATAAGAAAAAATGTACTTTCCATCAAAAAGAATGTAAACAGATGCAATCTACAACAGGCAAATTAACCATTAGAAAAAAAACATACTAATATTAAGTAACGTGGTTGCAGATCTTTTCTTGATTGCTTCATTAATTCGCCTTCAAACAAAAGATGACGATTTGCTTCAAAGACATTGAATCTTCCCTACAAATTCGAACTGCTGTATGAATTCTTGAATTTAATCAATATTCAATTTAAAAAGGTATTTTTTTAAATAATTTACCTCTAGCCGTCGATACAAATTGATTAAACGTTTTTCTAGTTCAGCCAAGCTGATCTGTCGATCGACTAATTCTGATACGTTCAACAACTGTATTAATGCCTCTGCAAAACGAAAACACCAATCATTTCCCGGACATAAGTAAACTTCAAAAAACTTAAATATAAAATATATATCACATGAAAAAAATCACATATTTTATTTAATTCATGTGAGCTATAATATTTCTTACAATAAATTATAAAGAATGTACAATATTTCTTTAAGAGTAAAAATAAAAGTCGATAACTAATCAGATACATAAATATTTTCAAGAACTAGAAAAAAATTGAAAAAAAAGAACCTTCGCATTCCTCAAATTCTTCAGAATCAGGCAGCAGATATTTTTTATAAGCTCCTAGCAAAATCGTATAACGCACAACATTCTGATGAACGATATCAAGTTGTTGTATTATTGATATTTTACCCATTACTTGTTCCTCAAACTGAAAATAAAAGATATGGAAAAAATAATACACAACTATTTATGATGTTAAATTTGAAATATTTCTTTGCTTACCTTCCACGTTGCACGAGCCAATTCTTCGTTATCCTGCAATAATTTCACAAATTCATCTACATGCTTCTTTTTTTCTTTGAGGTAGGGAAGACAACATTTCAGAAGAGGAGCACCATTTTTCAAACACTCAGCCATGCATGGATTTCTAGAATCCCTGAAATAGAACTATTTTTCATATTATGAGAACAAGATTTCTAGAAAAATACATTTATGTGAAAAAATACTTAACTCTCATGACAAAGTGAAAATTTTTTTTTCGAAATTTCAGTCTCGGTTACTGATTTCTTACTTAGAATTCCTCAAACAATCTAGCATCGCAACTATCATTTAAAAAAAACCAATTTTCGATTTTTGATGAAAATCTCTCCAGCAAAAGCTTATGAGCTTCTTTAACCATCACTAGTTGCTGAGCTATGCGATTAATTAAATGAGGATGTCCATCTGGCAGTGGCTTTAACAAATCAATGCCCAACTGTCTCCCATATTCCACCAGATATTTTGGATATTTCTGAAAGAAATTCACAAGGAAATCTTCATTTCCACTAAATATTTGCTATAAAAAAATAAACTTGTTCATAAAAAAACACCAACCACAGCAATAAACTGCAACTGTTCAACAAAATTCTTTTCTACACTGAAAATTTCGACTGCTGCATAATGAAGTTTTCTTAGCCTTTGATCCTGCAAATATTGTATCGATAAGAACTTATGAATTCAAATTAACCAACTTCGTAACATATTTCGAGATTATCCTTGCAGTATTTTATTTGACATCAACATAATAACAATAATCAAAACATCAGTGCCACTATCTTCATGGTTAAGAAATTAACGATTTCAAAATTTTCCAAGCTATTTCAGATGCTTTATTTCGCTATAAATTTTTGACAAAAAGAACCTCTTTTGAACAACCCGTATTGTAGGAAGCATCAACGATTGAGTGATCAAATGAACTTCTGATTGGCTTTTTGTTTTTGAGACAAAGTGAACTCGCTATACTGCATGCATCACTTGAAGGCCTCGAAGACGTAGTAATAGAATCGTAAGGAACCAAACGTTCACAACTCGAATCATAAATCTGAGCAAAAATATTTAACAGTTCAATTACTCATAGGATGAAAATGATTAAAATTTAATCAAAAAGACCTGTTCATCTGATTTTGCTTTTAGTATTTCTGTCGCAGGGATATCTGAATGATAGGCTATTTCTTCCGAATCTCTAAATAAAATATATAACAAATTTAATACAGAAAGATAGCTTGAAGTGAATTGACAACAATAAAGTGGTTTTAATATTACAAATATAAAAAACAAAATTGCAGAAAAGTGATATTATTAAATTTTTTCATAAAATTTATATGCATAGAAAAATAGTGTAAAAAGAACCCTTAGATCAAATATTTCCTTTAATACCTCGATCCATTTTTTTTAAAAATATTGTTTCGTGTTAACTCTTCCATGGCCAGGTTTTGGAATTTATTTCTATAAAACAAGAGTTTTAATACGTTTTGTTTCACAAATCCTTTGATTTTATTCAGAATTTCCGAATAATAGTGCTGCGACAATAAAGCGGATATATGTACAAATAAAGTTCTTATTAGGTGCCACTGTACAATTTTCATGTAATATGGTAAGCTATATTATTACGATCTATACTGAGATAATAAGATTAACAATTAATGAAAATTTTCATTAACACTACTGTGCTGCGGTTCTTAAAACTCATAAAACACTTACAATGTTAAATCTGAAGTATTAGTTTTTTCTATAGTTAAAGTTTTCTCCGCAATATTTTCAACCGTTTCCTTGAAACAGCTGGAATTTTGTCCCCAACTTAATTCTGCCTCGCTGGTAATCGAGCCACTTGTCTGGGATTCTGTCCATGAATTATTTGACAAAACTGACGATCTTGTAAGGCTGCAAGACTGTGAAAATTGTGTCTTTGCAAATCAATTTGGAAATCAAATATGAGATTTAAATAGAAAATATAATTATACTTATGTTGATTAGACAGTGAATCGCCCAACATACAAACGATTGATGTTTTTTCGTTCGCTATCAAACTGTCATAGAAAGCAACTGCCCTTCGCACATTTGTTTCGTGCCTGCATTTTAACACATTAATTAAAACAGTATTTCGAAGTAGTATAATAGGACTGAAACATGTAAGCCCGTTTGCATATTGCAAGCCATGAAAGTACAAATATGCATACTGTAGTTGGTGCTGCAGTTTCAGCATTATTTATATTACTTTAAATCTTTCGAAACCTTTCGAAACCATAATGTTTTTGATAATTTAAATTTTTCATGAAATTTTCAAATATATTTTGTCTGGTGCTAAAATTTCTTGAATTAATAAACTTTCCAACCCATGTCTTGTAGGCCTTATTGGATATTTCCTGATGACTAAAAATGAACAAAATGATACCTCGCAGTATCATTGACAGAAGGATCATTCTTGGTGACATCGACATTTGTAGTATCAACCGGGATTAGAGATGAAACTACAGCCGATGGCTAAAATGCAAAAAAAGAAAGAGAAATCTATACGAGGGAATGAATTACATGAAACTGAAAAATCAAAAAATCAATTTGGAATATGAAAATGAAGAATAATGCGTCGAGAGTATAGTCAATTCCATAACTTACTTCTCTTAACTACTCAACGAACATTTAACATCACAATATTATACTCATAATCTACATACTTTTATTCAATTCATAGTTTTTCCAAATCAAAAAAAATGTATTAGCTCAGAAATTTATCTTAACTCTTGATTTTACATTCAAAATTTCCTACACTTCTGCATGGCTTTCGTGGTACAGTCGGTTTCTGTTTCAAATTTTGAGTTTTCTGCTCTCTAATAGTTTCACCACCTTCATACAAAAGTTTTCTTCGTTCTACTAAAACAAAGTATTATATTTTTAAAAAGCAGTATCTGGAAAGTAACTGGAAAGTGGATCAGCTTTAATGAATGATGGAAAAATAATTTTGATTCCAAATTTCTATTTTTTTGAAATTATGAATTAAATATAAATGAAAGATTCATAGGCAATGTCAACAGTCATGACTCAATTACTTTTGAAGTAGAAGTAACCTCATATATGATGTTTTTTAGTACAACAATAAGTTAGCACATGTTTTGATGGTTAATATAAACTTACTGACCAAAATACATAACAACAAATTAACTTACTGATATTACTACATGAAGAAACTTTTCCAGTTGTAGAGATATGTAACTGCTGTTCATTTTCGACTCGAGTAAGTCTCTGCTTCACATCTACCTGTGGAATTTGGTTTAAGTCATGCATCAATTCAACAAACGACCATTACAAATATCAAGCTAAAAAGAAGACTGATGACAGAGTAGCTTTTTACAGTTACAGTATGATTTAATAAGAAATCACAATTTTCATCGACGAATTAAACAAAATAAAAACAAACAATTAATTAGCCAAAAAGAAATTTAAAAAAAATATGCTTCCAGATGAATATATTGTTAAAATATTCTTCCTTAATAATTTATAAAATATGACATATAAAAATCTGCTTTTAAATATCACTAAAACGTAAAATCTCTTAAAATTTCACTACATGCATAAGGTCGATTGAAATTTAGATTTTTCATAGAAATGTAGTATGAAACCGGTTACTTCTAATTATTTCTTATTTCGATACAAACAATTAATTAGAGAAAATAAATTAGACATGGATATAAATATCATATGTAACTGTGCTATATTTTATTGTATATAATTTATACGTAGCAATTACAATTAAAAAAACAATACATGCATCCATGTCTAATTAATCTTTTCATTACAAATCTTACTAAAAGTAGCAAAAAAAATAAGAAGAAAGAATCAAGATTTTTTCTAATTTTGTATGCAAAAACAACAAAAATTTTCTGCGTTTTTTATGATCACATTAAACGAAATTGTCAATGCCAGCCAAAAAATTAGTATCAGCAATTAATTCTTCTACTTTTTCTCAATCTATCCTTCCTGTCTTGTAATCATTTACCTCTATTTTCATCTTTTATTCCTAACTATTTCGAGAAGAAATAAAATTTCAGTAATGATAGATAAACTTATTATTAAAATTTTATAATCAATTTAGATATCTGTTTACTTTTACATACTACTAATATGCCTGCCATGCATGCAAAAATTTCCTGCATTAAATATAATCACAATAACAGGTTCTAGAAAAAAAAATGCATGACTATTCTCTATTAATCATATTAATTAAGCATTCAGATAATATTGAATGAATTTTTTGAATTGCAAATTAGGAAAAATTCCAATCAAACTTCAAATTATCAATAACAAATTTTTTCCAACAACTAAATGTGCAACTCTGAGTGATACACGTAGTACACTACACAGTGAATCAATGTTCCCAATGCTGTAAACAAGTCAAGTTATAAAATTAAAAAATTAAGCCTAATATTAGTAAATTATAATAAATTAATGTAATCATATAAGAATGAATAAATTCAAATTCTTTGTGTCTGAACAAAATTACAAGCTATTTGTATTTATCTCAATACTGAATACTTTTATGAGTAATAATGATGATAAAGCATTGTTAGGTAAATTATAATTGTAATAAATCAAATCGTTAATGGCAAATTTTTTTGAAATCTAATCAATTATGAGCATTCAATTTATGTCATGAATTAAAAATAAAAAGAGGTCATAACCTTTTTTACTTTTCTACGCACACATTCGTCACTGTGAATTTCTCTCACTGCTAATCATTTCTTTCTTCATTCGTTATTAACTCTGTTCTTCTCCGTTTATCTTTCTCAAATACTTGCCTCATCTGTTGTATTACTCGTTGTATATTACTCTCTTTCTCTATCAATACCTTAGCAGTAGTAATTTATGCCATTAAACAATATTTTAGCAATTCATATTCAATTTACTTTGTTTTACTCTTTAATTTAATATCTTTGTGATTTTAAGCATAATTATTTGAGTATTTATATTGTAGTTTAGTTTTAGTATGTTAAGCATTAATTAATTTTAGAGGTAAATCATGAAAGGCAATAAATACAAAAAAGCAGCAGCAATGTTACTACCAGTCAATCACTGTCAGTAATGAAGTGAAATGATATCTGTTGTCATATGACTAAGTTAATATGAAAAACAATAAAAATCATACGGAAACATTGGATATACCGCCGTGGGAGAAATTTAGCCGTTGGGTACACTGTATCTGTGTGGTAACGTTCGATCTTGAATTGGGGCAGTCTATTGAGGTATGAAAGTTTTCATGCGCTGCAAGTTTAGATTCTGTTTCATCAAAAATATGCTTGATTGTAAGCATTTATTTTTAGATATAGATAGTACGCTGAAATTAAAATCTTTCCAAGTAATATTTTTACAGTATTTTTCAAATTTTTTGCATTATTGTTATGAAATTTATGATGGAAAAAATTACATATGAATTTAGTAACATTTAAGTTTTAAGTTTTATTATAAAGTTTTACAAGTAATTCTTCATTTAATTTTTAAGTGAATCTGTTTGGTAGTATTTGTTAAATAAATTTACGTGAAAAATACGATTATTCTTCAGGTTGTTTATCCTGGTGATGCACAATTAACTGCTAATGAGAGAAACAGTATATGCTACTTATCGTTTCCAGACTCAAATAGTGGCGTGACATGTGATACTAATTTTCATTTTCGTATACGCCGTTCATTTAGTTCCAACTTGACAGCATATAATACATATTCAGATAAAGTACCAGCAACTATTGATGCTGATTCACATAACTTTTATGGATTTGTTCATTTCAGGTTATTTTAAAGATTTGAAAGTAGTAGAAACATTTCTACAATAGTAACAAGCATTAAGTGTTTTGAAAACAAAAAAAATTTTTTTTTTGGTCGTCTTAACATATGTTTTATATAGTCTTTATTTGCTTGCTGCAAAAATTTCAACCCATAACAGCTTTTGCATGATTCGTCTCATTTTCAGGCAAAAGAAAGATTCTTCCTTGCCGCGCGGTTATTTTCAAAAGGTTTTTACTTTTATTTATTATCATTTTTACATTTTTGATCATTATAAGATTAGCTTTTAAAAAATGTAAGCAAATTTGTTGCAGAGTCTTGTTTTATTAACAGTTCTTCCCCTTTTTGAATTGTTTTCGCTTGTTGTCGGTGTGATTGCTCAAGGCTTTTTCGATTCTGGTGAGCCAGCAATTGAAGCAGGTGAAATTATTTCTTATCCGTTCCTGAAAAGTGGCAGTCATTCTCAGTGTCCTTTTGGTATGAGTGTAAGATTTATGAAAAGTACTTTGATGGGTTTCTAATTACTTTCTATATATATGCACACTATTAAACCGTGGCATATTTAGTCTTCGCTTATTCATTGGCATATAGTTCATTAATATTTTCAGAATTATGTCAAATAAACACATTTCTGTGTTAGAAATTGTATTTTAAATGTAATATACTTTTTAGCCTGCCATCACATTGACCAATGGTCCGCTCCGATTCCTGGGTTTGTACTTCGTTTACCGCTGATGGGAAATGTAATACAGTGTCGGATTCCGTGCCTTATTGACATTTATTCACTGCAGAGAAATTATTTAATCGATGTTAAAGTGTGTTAAGTTTACGTAATCAGAACCTAATTATTGTTTCTTTGCAGTCTATCTGCTATATTTGACTGCGAAACATTACAATATATTTGAACACGTTTTGTGAGTGACTACAATGATTTTAGAAGTCTTTGTTTCATTTCAATGACTCTAAACTTTTCAGCTCACTTCACCAAATAAAAACCCTGTTTTACTATCCATTATGAGCAAATCAACATTTCCAAAGTATGTTGCCATTTTGCAATGTTCTGTTTATGTAATTTTTCACGGTATGATCCTTTTTAGAGCAAATTCTAGAAATTTTTACTATGGAAACACTTTATTTCAGGAATTTATCATTTGTTGTTAATTACGTGCAGCTGATTTGGGAATTAGTATTAACTGGAGAGGTATCTTTTGTGATTGTATTTTGATTTTTTCATTTTAATCTTACTATTAACTATGTATCCTGCGAGTATAATTTCGAAGTATTATTGTTTTGGTAGATCTAATTAGCTTTAATTTGAAATTATCAAAAATGTGCAAATGTTTTAGCCAATTGTGGTACTAGCACATAACCCATCAGAATGTTCTTCTTTTGTGCAATCACTCATATCGTTAATATGGCCTTTAAGGTACTTATATTAATGCATTTGAATTTAATTGCCATTATTTTGCTTCTGTTTCTATATTTATCAGGCCTAGTAATTTCAGATACGCTAATGATTGTCGACCTTTCTTCACTATTCACGACATTGAATTTCGAGAGTATTCATCCAAATCAGACCCTTGGTACTGTTATTCTCGTTTCTTGAAAATATACAAAGTTTGGAAAGCATTACATCTAGCATACGTTATGTTTGATATTTTTCTAATTTTATAATTTCGAGTGGTAAAGCTGGTGCATTGTTTTTGAACTTTCTAATAATCTGTTATAGGCCAAATGTTATTCTCGGAGTCACCAATCCATTTTTCGCAAAAGTATTTCAAAACTGGCCACATATTATTCGTATGGCTCCTTCAGGAGACCAACAGAACAGTATTGGAAAAAGAAAGTAGATTATTTTATTTGTTGATTTCGATGGTCTTTTTCATTTTATTCCTAAAAAATTCTTACATTCTTATTAATTACTTCACGAGTCCACAGTTGGTGTAATTCTGCTGTTAAATTATTGTCTATATTGCAGAAAAATTTGGAATAAACATATGTTAGAAACGAAGCATGGTTTATTCAGCCAATACAAAATGTTCCTTCAAAAGGATAAAGCACTTTTTAAAGATGTACTGAAAGTCAGTAATCCACATGATGGAAGTATACCATTATTGCAACGAGGACTTCTTGATCTGACACAAAATTTCATGATGCCTTTAGAGAACTATGTTTCGTCGCTGATGCCTTTAAAAAAACATTTGTCACCCTTCAAGGTGCTTTGTGACTTGATTTTCATTCTTAAAGTTTCATTACCTGATAACTATTGTGAACCTAGTAATATTTTTACAGTCTTGTCATATTAGTATCGTTGAGAACATTCTTCTTGTTGTGATTGGTTGCAGAATGTCCCTCAGATTGATCCGTTCGTGATGGACAATTTTTTCTCTGCTTTGGATGAGACAAGAATTATGCAAACGTCAGGTATAAAAGGAGATTGGCGAGGTAAACAACTTTTAATTTTGTTATTTTCATTATTCAGTGGCATGAATTTGATGAAGTTTGGATATCACAAATGACTCGATTTTCATGTAGAAAATTGATAATATAGAAATTCTAATTTTTAGGTTTGTACCAAAAATTTACTACTTCACAGAATTTTCAAGATTGGTTATGCCGCAAAAAAATGGATCTTGAACGGCAGCTGCGTCTTCTGCATTTAGAAGTATGTTTATGCGTGTTTGTTGAATAGTTTTTGTATAAAGGACGTTTGTTTTGTTATTACAATAAAAAGTCTAAAATGTTTCCTTAATACATGACATTATTTTAGATGCTTTGCAATGCAGATTTTAGTAAAGAAACACTTCACGAACGTTCACAAGTAGAAATTGTTGATCTGGTCCTCAAGCTAAATGATCGTATTCGAAATTTAGACGATACATCAGAAAGTTCGAGAATTCGATTACAGTCGCAGATTTCTTCCATTTTATCATCAGTAGATGATGACTTAAAGTCAGTTTTGCTTTCCAGTGATTCACTGAGAGATTGCATTCAGTAGTGCTATACTGCCTTGTAAATAATATAGTCAAATTTTTTTATAATCACTGTTTCTCATTCATGAAGTTGCAGTGCAATGCGAATAGTGAGTAGTTTCATAAATTTCGTGAAATTATGGTATCATTTCTAGGTGGAGAATCTTAGTTTTGAATTAAGTTGCTGAAAATATGTTTCATAATTATTAATTTATAGTGAGATCAGCTCATTACTTCTGCATAAATATTAATTGCATAATTTTCTTCCAAAGAATTGTTATTTTCATGTTCCTCATCTATAAAAAGTTCACATGTTGCAAAATTTTTTGACATATTGTCACGTAATTCTCTCTATATTAATATTATATGTTTAAGTTTTGGAATTTTGCCCCATTTCCTTACCTTATTAATTATGTGTAATTTGCTCAGTTTTCTCTGTTCTTGCCTCTAGTTGATTGTATAATCAAGGCTTTCTGTATATTTATCATGAATTAAATTCAATATCTCAATTTGCCTTTGTTATTTTGTTAATCTTGTTGTTTACTGGTAATGAATGTTTTATTAGGGGTTATATTCAGAATGAAATTACAGTGTGGAGTCTTGTAATTTTGAAAAATTAGATATTATGTCGTAGCAGCTGATACAAAAAATTGAATTTTTGGTATCAAAATTGATGATTTATTGAGACTACGATGTGTCTTTTTCAGTAATCTTTTGGAGATTTAAAGAGACCGAAGTATGTCACTTTTTCGTTACGGGTTATCTTAAAAATAAAATTGCTTGTCAAACACAGTATTGCAAGATTGTATACTTATAATGTTTATATAACATATAAGAAGTTACTTTGAAGGTGGACGGTTTAATAGTAACGTGGGAGGTAAACACGATCACAATGGCTAATTATTGTAGTGCATGCGTAACAATTCCTCTGGAATTTTCAGCTCAAATTAAATTTTATAACGGCGTTGTTGTGTTGTATGCACATCTGAAGCTTCGTCTTTTTAACACTTCTGAAACTATGTAAATGCTGTTAGAAGCAAACTAATTAGTTTTAGGGATTCTGAGCACAGTTTTCTATAATTATTGCTTCATGTCCTGTTTGGAAAACAGAATTGTACAAATGTTAGATGCTGTGCAGATATTTTTATAAAAAATGTTGGGCCCCATCTGCTAGGAAATTATCTTAAATCATAATTTATTTCAAAAGAATAACTATGCACTGAAAAAGAGAAAATAGTGACTTAGAAACAATATTTTCTTGTGAAGGAGCATGAATTAGTGATGGAGTTTCGTCTTATAAACGTTAATTTTATTAGCAGAATGCTATTTTCGCTTTGAAAGTTACTCGATTACGCTGTTCGTCATTCTTCGCGAAGCGTAATGAATTTGGCCTACATTGCTTATAACCGCAAATATATCCACGCTAATTCAAACATCTTCAAAGTATGGTTGCAAACTGGATTACACTCCACTACCAGTATGAATCAATCATAACTAAATAAAGATATGTCAGGAAAAGCTGTCAGTTAAGTTAATGTGTTGGAGATTTGTTATCGTATCTAAACATTATGTAGACTATACTTTTCATTAATTACTGGTCAATTTTTGACCGATGTTCTGTCGGTTTCAATTTTTATTTTGAGGAAGCTGACTAGAACAATAAGTAAAATGGCGTTTGAAGTGTCTGTCGAAGCTATTTAATAGATGTTTTCCAGAAGGAATGATTGGTTGTTTGAGTAGTTATCTCGAAGGATTTTGCGTTTTGCGTAAAAAACTAGTTAACAATTTTTTTTTAAAAGTGTCACCAGTACTTCATTCTTAATGATATCAGTGATTTGATTTCGTTATGGCAGATTAGAATAAATAATTATGACTATATTTTGTCCTCTATATTTATAAGATTATTATTTACCACATATTCGTAAAATGCAGCTTGTTTGTTTTTTAAATTTGCTATAGAAACATCTTAATATACTTCTGCGCAACAAAGTTTACAGTGATAACCATTTTATGGCATTTTTTTTTTGCTGAATCTAGCTAGTAAAGATTTCTATTCGATATATTTTCAAAACCGTATTCTAATGAATATCTTTAATTTGTTTGAGATTTCGAAAACTGATCTACAAATTAGAAGCTTAGTATAAAATTTTCAAATCAGTAAAGTCTTGCAAAGCATAAGAAATAAGTACATTATGCTTGCCTAGGAATTACTAAATTTAAAAAAAATGAGAGATTCAAAAGCTGACTTTTTATGTATTATTGGGAGTGAAGTAATTTTAATGTTTGTAAAAATGTTCTGGTTGTTAGTATTTTTTAATTAGAACATTTAGTTATTATTGTTCAAATATTAATGAATTACGATTCATTGCTCTACTGTATAAAATACATTTTTTTTAGTAATTTAGCATAAAAATTTTTTCTTTGCTTTTAACAATTTTTAAAATATACATTACACAACAGCCATAGCATGACAAGTTTTTGAAATGAAATGATATTGAATGTGAATATTTGCAAAGTTTCATTCCATGATTACAAGTAAAACTAATAATAATATTTAAAGAAAAACATTGAATGTAATTTTTTTCAGTGAAAAGAAAAAATATTAAGTGAATTTGTAAACGAAATGTGCTTATTTACTTGAGGAAATAATATTTTATTTAATTTGTAAAAGTGTGGAATATTTTTATGATGTATTCGATATCAGTTTTTCATATTTGAAACACATTTTAAGGCAGCGAGAAATTCCCAAGTTTCCCTCAATTACAGCAAAGTAATTGAAGATTAAAGGAACCAATGAAAGAATTTAAATAAAATGCTTATGCAGACAATATTTTATTCCTTTATAGCATATATAGTTAATAATTTTTACTTTTTTAAGAATTTACACAAATGAACGGCATTTCCATGTGTTTGCCTCTTGTACTTATTCTCATATCAATATTTCCTATATTTACGCAATTTGTTCCGAATGCACTGATCAGCTTTGGCAAGTTTAAGTTTTAAATTTGTGTCATCATTTCAAACTTTATAAATAATATATATGTTTTAGATTAGTTTTAGAGAACAATAAGATATTTATTTTGAAATTTTTTGTTGTTAGAAATTAAATACAGTATGATGATTATTGTGATTGAAGATGATATGATGAACTTACCTGAAGAACGACAACAATATAATCCTTCTCGACCTTACTGGCTACTAATTGATCAAGTTAATGACAAATGTAAGTTCAATCAACATATATAATCATAACTTTAATAGAAAAATAATATTGGTAATTTATTATAAAATTTAGTAGTTCAAATTATATAAAAATGATTCTTGTTTAAAGTTTTTAAAAGGAATTTTTGAAGCAAATGAGAAACAAGCAGTATTTGCTTGCTCATTCATTTGTTCAAGTACTGCAGCAAAAAAAAAAATACAAGTCTTACAATTTACAGAAAAACTAAATCCCAAACCATATAAACTTTGTTCAAAATTGATGAGTAACTTAAGCAATAATTAATAACTTGTAAATTTAGTCAGTAGTAAGAATTATTTAGAAAGTTGTTATGAAGAAAGCCTGATATTAATTACAAATGAGTAATAAAACTAAATCCATTATTATTTCATGAAGATTAAGGCAAACTACTAATCAGTTATGAACAACATAGTAATACAGTTATAGCAGTGTAAGCAACTCTTAAAATCAGTAATCATAACTTTCCACCAGTAAGTCAAAATGTATTTATGATAAGAAATTCCTATACCTTAAAATGTTATTATAGATATATAGAGGTTGTTCTTTAATATAAATACGATTGTTGTGAATAGTTCTCGAATATATGAGAAATTATAGCATTTTATTGAGCTGCATTAGATTTTAATTACATATTTTTTGCAAAACTGATTTGTTCTTGTTTTTGTTTCTTATTTATTTTTCCAGACTTTCTTGTGGTGTTACTAATTTTCAACAAAAACAAATAGCAAAATATTCAAAATTTCATATAATATCAGTGTTTTACAGCTGGTCCAGTTGATTACATGAATAACGGAGACAAAATACTACTATCAAAAAAACCATTTCATCCAATCATACTTGAAAATCAAGCGGCAAAACAAAAAATTTCTTCGGGAATGAAAGGAAAAGGAACAAATGGAGAATACTACGGTAGTTTAGGCAGTTCAAATAGCATTAAGGATTATATAAAGCGAAGTTCATTTCGTCAGCTGGCTTTGAATGGTGCTCGTGGATTCGGTAAATGAATTTGCCAAGTAGTTAAAAAGAAAAGTTCTGAAGTTAATAATATTTTTGTTTAATGATTACAGTACTGCTGTTTACATCAGAAGAATAGATTTTAAAAAATTTATTGCTAATAGAAAATATCTATCATTTCATTTTATGTATACATTTTTTTACCTTACTACCAATTAGTAAAATGCCTTTTGCAGCAATTTACAAAAAATATCACATTAGCTTTTGATATTATATTATTATCTTTGAAAATACTCTTTAAAATGTCTCAAATAATAAAGCTTATTAAATATTACTAAATAACCATATCAAACTGAATATACTTAATAAAAACAAAATCAAACGAAAATGTGTTCCTTAATGACTAGTTATAATAGGTATTTCACAGTGGTTTCAAAGCAATTATAATTATTTTTTAATAGTTGCATATCTAAACATGAATATTTCTAACGCGACATTTTTTTCGTTTTTTTTTTCACATACTAGAAAAGTATTGTATAATTATTGGAAGAAAATTAAAACAATTATCAAAAACAGAAAGAATCAATACTTGAAAATTATTAAAACTGTTCCTTCACGAATAATTTGATAAGAACTGTTTTATTGATCATTATTGCAAATGATTGTCAAAATGCGTATAATTCTGTTTAAGAAAGCTACAAATTATTTAAAAAAAATTTGGTCAAAGTTAAAATGAAAGAAGATTATTTTTCTGTACTCTCAACATTTTGTCCAGCTTAAAGTTGTTAACAAATTTACTGATCACAAACATGCGCATGAGGTAACAGTCATTCGTGGATAATTTTTCAACACAACATTATCTACTTCATCATAATACAGTAGTGAGAGAGAATCCATTTTATCCGGTGCACAACATACATTCGGAATGTCTGGATTCAGACCTAATTGATATATGATTGACTGAACAATTGCATGGTTTGATGGATTCATTTCCTAAAGCATGTAATATTATTATATTACATAATCGAAATAATATCACAGAGGCTTAAATACGCCTTTGTGAGATATATGAAAAATATAAATAAATACTTTTCTGAGAGGAAAGGGACATGTACCACTACAGTAATGTGCTTCAAATGATGTTGGCGCAATAATCCAGTGTTCCCAGCCTATGTCCCGAAATCTTACATTTAACTTCTGCTTTCTGCAACTCTGTAAGAGCCACCAGATAGTCATTTTGATAACATTATATAAAATGAGAGAAACATTTTACTTTTTGACTTTTAAAGACTAATCTAAATTAAAACTGATCAGGATAATGTTTACAATGTATTGCATTTGCAATCATAGAGCTTGAAATTTTTTAAAATGATTCTAATGGTGAATTTATACATATAGACAATTTCATACTTGTGATGAAAAAGTTTGTCCTGGAAGAAGCACAAGTGTCACATCTTCAGCTTTTTCTTGTACTACAGACGATGGTGAAGGTGTTATAATTTTTGTAAATTTCTTTTTTACACCAAATCCCATCATTGGATCATTACGGAAAGCACCACGAATTTTTTTTTGCTTACGCATTTGTAACCGGCGGTCCTCCAATATTCATGTTAAAACTTGAATCAAATATTTGCAAATTTAGAAAGAATTCATGTGTGGAACAAATTTTTAAACATAATTATATTATTACTATGTCATAGAATTTATTCCCGTGCAATACCTTTATTCAATTTTTGAATCTTATCTTATGTATTTAGTTTTTTTATTGAGAGAGATAAAAAAGCCTCATGTATGTATAAAATTAAATCAGCATTTTAAATTAACATTTACTGATATCAAAACAATGCTTGTTTTGTAAAGTCATAGAAAACTAGTGATTAGTAGATATACTATTGAATAGTATGAAAATGTAGGTAGAGCAAAAAATGATTGAAAAATTAAAAATAAATGATATTCCAGTGCAAATAATTACTGGCAATTTTTATGTTAAGTAAATGATTTAACTGCAAATTCTTGATTACATGGATTAATGATGTTTAACTATGTCATCAGAAAGTTATAAATCACTCTGAAAATTATTCAAGAGTAACTCTTTGTTTCACTCTATTTGATTTACAGCGATGAAACTTTACAATTCATCATTGCTATCTTAAAACATAACTCAAATGCAATTGCTTTTTGTTTCTTAAAAATTGTCTGAAGTCATTACAGTAATCACATTGTACTATTTTTAATAAGAATAAACATTTTGCACACTGATATTTATTTATCTTCATTATGTGTATTAATGATGTAGATTCTTGAAATTATTTTGCACATCGAATTAACGGGACTAAATTTGAAGCTTATCTTATTTATTCAGTTCATAATAACTTTCGAAAGCAAAATTTTGTAAATTTCACTAGTGTAGTTAAATTATAAACAATCTTTACAACAAATTCATAACAGTAATAATGAATAAGGAAGATAACGTCATTAATACATCTAAATAATGCGGTCGCGAAGTATCCGCAGTCCCCGCTCTCGATAAAAGATTTTACAACACTTTAAAGTGTTTTTTCTAAATTTATTCTAAATAATTTGAAGCTTATCTTTAATTTTGACTTCAAAATCTGAACAATATAAATTTGCATTTTTTGCATTCTTATAACCATAAGAGTTTAAACTTTTTAGCAAGTTTGAAAAGAAATTTCATTTTCTTATTTTACTTTTTTGTCTCCCCTTAATTAACTTCTTTATAATAATTTTTTTTAAATAAAAAGTAGACTATATGGATTTCCTTTGAGTTAAGAAATAAAATATGAAAAAAATAATTAATATATTATTATTGGTAGAATACTGCGCTAAAAATTGTTCAATTCATCACTGCTGTCTCAAAATATAACATCTATAAGAGTTTTAAAATTATTAGTCAAATAAAAAATGATTGTATGATTAGAAAAAGTAAATTTTCTTAACAAGTTAAAAATTTTATCATTGATTAAAGAAAAAGTAATAATTACTTGTTTACGGTCGCGAAGTATCCGCGGTCCCAGCTCTCGATAAGTTTTAAGTTGCTGTACTGATTGTGCTTCCCAAGTATTACTACTATCATTAGCATCTTGTTTTTCTTTTGCTGAATACTCATAATATGGAGACATCCTTTTTGAGCGTTTTTTCAACCCTTTAAAAATTATTCTTTCCAAAGTAATACAAATAAATTTGATATTAAGAAAGTAAAGTAACAGAATGCATTTAATGTTTAATCTCAATTTTAACTTTAAAATTTAAATTTGTACACTAAAAAAGATGGTCAGAAATTGATACAGAATTACTTAAACAATATGATTAAAAATAATAAGCAAAAAAAAAAGCTATTAATGCATGAAATGCTATCAAATTTAAACCTGAAGATAATTGATGGAATGCATCAGCACTGATTTTGAAGGAATGATTTATTGCATTAATCAAAAATGATTCTTTAGTGTATACAAGCAAAAAAGGTGTATTGTGTTTAAACATTCCACTACATTTCATTTTTTTCCCATTGCGTAAAAACTAAAAAATGCAACCATTTATGCATCTTAAAATTGATCTTTTTTAGCAAGCAAAAGTATATTACAAAGATATAATGATGTGATCAATTTTTCCCTGAAAAAATCAACAAATTACCACGTTAAATTGATTAAGTGAAAAAATCACGCTTGCGAGCAGTTACACAAAATATTAAACAAGTAATGCAGTTAGATTAATCTTACTAGTATCTTTATTCATTTATGATTAGGAAAAAATAATTGCAGTTCCAAAATAGTTAGTCATGATTATTATTATGTCTTATTATTGTTTAATCAGTAAAATAATATATTTTTATTAGAAGAGCAATTATTTGTCATGCAAATTTTGAGAAAAAAAATTATCTTCCTTAATTCAAAATGTATTACTGTTATTTCATGCTCTAATCAATGAAATTGCATACTTTTACTGCGATAATACTTTGATTTGCACTGATTGCTTTCAAAACCAATTCAGTCATATCAAAGTTAAGCAAAAAATCAGATGCAGAAGACGGATTAAGCTGCACAGTTTGCTTTTTACCATTATTTTGCAAAAACGCATGAGCTTTGACAATATTTTTAACATGTTTCCATACGGACCGATGCTTCGGATGAATATTATAATGTAATTCAGCTCGAACTATCTACAATGCCAGGTAAATAATTTAAAACGTCTTCAAATACGCACATAACTTCAATTCTTTTCTTCTTTTTAAGTAGATATTTGCAACAGTACAATTACCAAAAAATTTATAAAAGTAAAAAAATAATTGCTAAAATAAAATTGAATAATTAGTAGTAATTTGAATTAATTATAACATAAGTAAATAAGATAAATTTTCTACAGTAATTTGAATTTCAGTCAAAATTGAATATATGTAAGAACATAAAAAATCTCCAATTCTGCCATGAAATAATTTTAGGTACTGACGCAAATTATGCATAAAAATAAATAATAACACGTTGTATTATGCAACTATAAAGTGAATTAATAATGTTTGCACACCTGTTCAGTTGGTTTAATTCTATTCAACTTAAATATTAGTAATTCTTCACCAAACAGTATTTCTGAAACAGTATCAAATTGCATTCATCAATTAAAAGAGTGATTTGTGTTTTTTATTTTTTGTATGTAAAAGACTTATAATTTTTGTGCTGACAAATACTTGTTTTTTTAACAAAATTTATTCTTAGATTAAACATGAGATATCTTTTACTCTCTATAATAAAAATTTTACACTGTGTATTATTTCTACTAATCATACAGTACTATTATTTATGAAATAAAAACTAAACAAATTTTTACCAACTGTAGGGTTGATACTTCTAATAATATTCCCGTGCAAATTATTTTGGTCATTTATATCAGCGTTATATTGATTAAATAAGCGTCGCATGTATTTTGAAGCAGCATTCTCAATACGTAAAGCAGGCTGTCGAGCATTACCTAAAGTAAAATGCTCAGAATTTTTAATTTATTGACAAAGTCTCAAGGATTAAGCATAATATCTAGTTTTTTTAAGATAACAATTGAACCTGTTTTCACAAGCTTAAAAAGTAACTTACTTGGTAAATGCTCCAAATCCAGTAGATTCTTAAATGTCGTCTGTAAAATAGCTATTTGCTCTTTAGTAGGTTGTAATACTGTGGAAGTTGAAAAGCCGATATAAAGTAATGATGACAGTAGTACTGTATCAAAAAAAATTATATCATTCATTTCATTTCTGAAATATTTTAATATCTAATTTATTGTTATTGATTTCTTTCGGTAATTGCAAAAAAGTACGGACCTATAGACCTTACAAATTTTCAAAACATTAGTAACAGTGAAATTAATCTTAAGTTATTTGAGTTAATCTTACAGTAATTGCAATCTTTTTAAGATGATTTATTTCATCTCTGCTTAATTATATTACGAATAACATCATAGTTACAAATTAAGAAAGTCGAATTCAAGCATAAGGAGATACTGTATTTACAGCTTAAGATCATTGATAATGAAGAAGAATTTGGTGTAGTGAAAAATTTTTGAATGCCTAATTTGGTTAGAAATACTTTCACGACTAAGTAATACCATAATATACGCTTGAAATACGATATTTAACATAATAGTAATATGCGTTGGATACAAAAGTGCAAAAAATAATAATTCTTTGAAAATATTAAAAACCATCATCAGAATTTATATTTATTCCAAATGCTAAATATGAAAACATTATTTATTTTTCTTTCATTACAGCCCTCTTTGATACCTGGCATTCAAATGACGTGAATTTTGTTATGTCTGTTGCAACAGCTTCATTTAAATTAGATTCCTGTAGACAGTACAAAAAGATGATTATGAAAATTGTGAATAGTTAATTAGTAATTTTTTATTACAGCTAATTATTTTACAATAATTATAGTAATGTTAAGCTGCTCATGATAAAATTAAGAAGAAAAATGTGTTTAATGCATGAATTGAGAGTAAAGTAGGCGGCTATTTTGTGCAAGCATTTCATAAAAATTGACAACTTCAACTGATTATATTAGAAAATGAAGACTTTTAAGTACACAATCATCAGAAAAAGTCCTATATAATTAAGTTGGAAAAAATTAAATTATTTTACCACAGCATCCATCTAAGCGAATTGAAACTACAGATACTCTTTGAAATTGTTCAGAAACGGAACACAAATATATAAATTGAAGCAAAGCAGTTGTTGGCAAACTCTAATTGTTTGTTTTTCTTTTTTTATCAAAGGTAATTGTGTACTACAGTGGGAAAAGAAGCTGAATTGAAGACTGACTTATTGTGGTAACTCAACTGAATGATTACTCATTTGCTAGCAACCGTAATCCAAGTTAGCTAATGCATTACTTACGCCTATCATAATGATTAAAATTTATAATGCTTAAAATGAATGACGAAAATGGAGATAATTAATATTGAGATTTCTACACTTTATCGTAAAATAGTACCTATTAGGTATAAATAAATGATAGTAAAACAATTGTCATAATTTAATTTTTATTGGTTTCTCGGTACAACAAGCATTTTAGAAAAATTTGCGGACAAAAATTTAGTGATATTTCATCAGTACAAAAATTATTATCCATAAAAATTGTTGCATAAAGTATATTAATAAAAGTTAACTCTCAATATACACTATTCAGTATATATAAATAATGATTTAAACAAGATGATTATTGCCATGATTGCTGCTTTCATAAAAACAAAAGTAAATTTAAATGAAGTAAATGCTAAAATTCGCAAAAGTATTTCTGAATGAATTAAATATGTCAGGGATTGAAGAAACTGAAGAAAGAACATATGTAAAATGAAGCAAAGGGTGCAGCTGTTCAGAGGAGGGAAGTTAGGGTGAGCTTCTTGAAGTTTCCGATGAAAAGCAAGAAGCAAGGTGCAAGGTGGACAAAACTGATTGTATACATGTTATAGTAGTAGTAATTTTCTATTTTAAGCAAGCATTCATTAAGCAATTGAATCTGTATCCATTCCATCAGTCGGTCATCTATCCTATCCATCTATCTACCTAACTATTTATCTATCTATTTGTGCATCCATCTATCCATCCGTCCATCCATCCATTTATCCATTTATCCATCCATATATCCATCCACATATCCATCCATCTATCCATCCATCCATTCATCATTACTTTTATTGAACAATCGTTTCAAACACTTGCAATAACATTTACATTAGCACCACACTCTCACATTTTAAATTAAATAAAGAAAATGATGATATGGCGAGAAGTGAGTTGTGTGGTTCATTTATCATTTCGTTAAATTCAAAATTTGCACACAACTGACCACGAAAGTTTTCTCAATATTCTTCATTTCATTAAAGAATTTGACTAAACTGTTGGCACTTCTGATATCCAAATCATCCTTCTTCTTTATTTGTGCTCAATTTATAATATTATAAAATTTATGACTGAGTTTGTTTTAATCTTTCTTTAAGAACGATCCCCTAGATTACTTTGATTTTCCTGATAATTTCATGGAATCATTTCGTAACGATAACTAAAAAATTATTTCGTTTATACAATTTGCTCGTACAAAATATAGAGGGATTTCTACATGTATGTTTATATAGTTATATAAACATACAGTTATTTCTAATTATAACTTATTCAAAATTTAAAAAAAGTTCGATCTTATTACCGAACGTTTATTTCCTTATTCATAATATTATGCATAAGGAAAAAAAGTTTATAAAAATTTAATAAGTTATAATTTTCTTGTATTGGAATTTCGATGCAAAGAATTGAATAAAGCAGAGTTTTATCTGTTAACTTAACTTATAATTTGTATCTGAAAAAGTTAACGTTCGGTAATAAGATCGAACTTTTTTAAAATTTTGATAGCATTAAAAATATTAAGTGAATTACATGAAGCTATGCATGAATTTGCAAAAAGCATTAAAATTTAAAGGTGAAAGCAAACTACTAAATAAGAACTATTATTATCAATATTTAAGCATAATCTCGAAGCAAAATAGGCGAAGAGCTATATAGTATGTGAATAAATAATGATTTTCGTGCAATGATCATTTGATATATCATAAATTATGCAAATTATAATCATGCAAGCAATCTGAAATTACAGGAAACTTTCGCAGCTACTCAAACCAATTGAAATCACTCTATAAATATCAAATTGCTGAAGAAAATTTCATTTATCAAAGCATAAATTTACAAATTTAGTAATAAAAATAAAGTTTCAAATTTATTTGTCATTCTTTGCACTGTCTGAAATATGTTGCACTGTAGTATAAAGAAAGGAAAGTAGTTGAAACGTTTGCTCAATAACTAAAGGAACAACTGGAGTTCGTGAGCTACGTTATCAGCTTGTATTAAATTATAACTGTAATTAATTATTGATAGTATTTTTAGAAAAAGTGTGCATTTTGAAAAAAAACTATTTTCAGAGAATTAACATTTTCTGCTTTGGCATTATGTGTATAAAAATACAAAAATTCTTTTTTGTTTTCATTTCTGTGTGCCTCAATACATTCATATTAACTACTACTATTTATCAAAATTAAAAGGTCTTTGCCAACATAATTAAAACAAATATTTAGTTTGTATCTTCTGTGGATATTTAAAATTAATTCGTAGACCTCTGATTAATTTGAACTAAAAAATTATTGCTAGTCTTTTTTTTGTTTTGATTTACTGTATCAAATTAAACAAGTTTCCAAATTTTAGCATTGACTTCTTCAGAATGTGTAATTATTTTTACTGCTTTTTAACTGACATCAGATATCTGAAAATAAAAAAATAGAGGCCGAAAAGTGATTTAAAAGTTGAATAAGAATTAATTCTCAATTTTTTTATGATCTAAAATAGAAATTAAGATCTCGTTATGTAATTCATAAAATAAAACAGACATTGAATGCTCATGTTTTAACTGCACTTTCGAAAACAATGAATATTTTGCGACAGATTCACAATATTACCAGCTTTCAACTGGAAATAAAGTAAAGTTCACGTTTCTCACTAAATTTATTTCTATTAAAAAAAATTATTGATTATATTGATTTATTTGAGACATTTTTGCAAATTATTTCAAAAAAAAGTCATCGTTTACGACGCTAACAAAAGTAAAAATATATGCCTTGTATTGTCAATTTTATATGATTCGTTAAATTTCAAACCAAACTGATAAGTTTTTTGAATGGCTTATGAATTAATTTGGTTTGTATTTCGAAAAAAGTTATTGGTGCAACACATATGATGAACACACAGTAATTTTGAAGTTCAATTATATTTTTTCACACGCTGCAGGTTTTTGAAATTTAACGTTTTTATTATTTGATTATCAAGCGGAACTATCAGGTACGAAAATATTTCGCTTCAAACGCTGTCCCAGAAGCAATTTATGTGAACAAAGCAGATGTCTGCGATATGTTTAATATATACCAACTTTTTCATTGATAATGATTTCTAATATCTCATTTATATATTTAATTATTTGATAAAAAATTATTCTTAAATTACAGAATAAATCAAAAATTTTTTTAACATTATTTTTAGACAGTAAAGAGATAAACTTTTTGTCATAAAGTATTTGAACTATCTACTTCATTTTATTAACTATGATTCTAATATTGACTCATTCTCAAAAGTATCTTTGTAAATCATAGTGATTTACACTTTAACTACTTGAAAAGACGAATCTTTGCTAAAGATCTGACAATATCAACTTTGTAATCAGCGAGCGAATATATAGCTAAACCATCAGATAATCACTTTCACACGATTTAATCAATCAGCAAATCAAACGAATACAATATTTAATGACTTCTTTGACAAGAAAGTAATTTATAACCTTTACACAACTTCTATTTAAAAGCTTCTCACTTTAATTCTATGCTTACATATATAATTCATTCCCGCGCAGTTAAATGTAAGATAAAGTGCTTCCAGGTTCCGGTTTAGTGTTTTTTACTTCTGCATTTAAATGGTTCAAAAGTCATGAATATTTCAATAGTCTGACTTTATGTTACTTATAATTTTCTTGTTTACCTTAGTGCATGAGTTAATTCACGAGAACTTTCGGCTATGATCGGTAGCAACATTTTTCCTCCATACATTTAATTAAATAAACTTCTGAAACTCTATCTTCATTTTTTCAGCTGTGCAAATTTTATTTTGAAAATGGTAGATATAATGCAATTTAAACTGCAATGGAAATTATTATACACAA